GATCAGGGAGTAGATGTGGTAATTGGTTTAAATAAAAGGTGTTCTATGGTGGATGTGTTATAAGCTCTGAGTTTTTTTGCGAAACTTAAAGTGATAAAAATTCTTGGGTGTGTCGTGTCAAAAATCATGTAAAGATATATTTGAAGGAAACCCCCCCCCCCCCCCACCCCCCCACCCCAACCCCTTCTTTGAAAATTGTTGTAAGGTTCCTTGAATCATGGCATGTGGAAGATGGATTAAGAGTTTCAAGAAAGATTGGAAATCGTAAAACACGCATTGTAAATAACATTTTTTTAATCAATTTATTTTCATCGAAACTCGATTGACCATTGATTTAAAAACACGCTATGTAGTTCCCAAAGTACTAGTGCTATTTAACTAATAGCTTAAGCTTTTGGCTGACGTCGTCATTTGATATGGTATAGTTGCTATTTGATCGGTGTTTGGTCAACCATTTACGAATCAAACCGTCGTAGTTGCGTAAGTCGGTTTGTTGGTTATCTAACGAGTTTTATTAGGTTGCATCTGTTTTTGGTCCCATTTGATGTCTCTTTCAATACTTGCCAATTGTCTTAATTTTTTTCTTATGTAGAAAAAGGTCACATTTGAATGAGAGCGAATGTCAAACTCGAGTATTTTATACATGTTTGTTATTCTTTTACTAATTTAGTTGTCATCGTCACAGCCTTATAGCTTATCGAAATAAAAATTATATATTCAAATTCGGTTTGTCGGTCGTTTCGAAAATTGAATTTTAAACTAATTATTCAGCGGTTGATTTTGTAGAATTAAGCTTCTTTTCAACTCTATTTCGAACCTTTCTAAACTCAGTTGAATAAACTTACAAAAAAAAGGTATATTATAAAAATAAAAATAAAAACAGTTGAATAAGAGTCGCAATTTTTTTTTAAATAAATTCGCTGTCGTCTTCTCCATCACTGATACCGTTACGAATGCTGATGTTCTACCTTTCAGATGTCATTCTCATAAGTCATATCAAGATTATATTACCTTGAAACTTGAAAATGACATTACAATAGTTAATTAATTAACCCCACTTAGGTGGCAGTTAGTGAGAGGGCCAACGGGGTCTAACCGTTATGTATACCTGGCCTCGTTTGATTGGCTAGATCGTCAATGATATATACGATCAATCATGGCTACAATAGAGTCGTTTGAAACTTGACATTGCGTAAAAGAAGAAAAAAAACGAAGCAAGCCTTATGATAATTATACATCAATAATCCGGTAAAAGTCTTCTTTCGACACATTCTTCCCAGTTAAGCATAAAAATATCGGTCATCCGAGCAAAATCCGTGCATGCCAATATTAACAGTCTAAATCGACCCCAACGAGAAAAAAAAAAAAAAAAAAAAAAAAAAAAAGAAAAAACCCAAGTTCATTCCAAATTTCGACACAGATAATTTATTGGAACACTGTACAAATTACTAACTAATGTACAAAAACAAAGACGATAAATAACGACCCGAAAAAGAAAGTAAATAATAATAAAAATCGCAAACTGCATAACAATCAATCTTCATCCTCGTCGTCATCATCTTCATCGTCGTGAATTCCCGTATCTTCACCAATACCTTCGAGCAATTTATCCACATCCTCACCCAACTCCATAAGCCGAGCACTAAGCTTCTCGACTTTACTCTGTTCTTGCCCAAGGCACACAAGCAAATCGCTCAATTCACCTTCGCTCTCCATTTGAGCTTCTTCTCGTGCTTGCGCCTTTATCGCCTCGATATTCGGTACAGCCACAGCAGATCCACCGTTGCTCTTCAGTGCTTTGATTTCGCGCTCTAATTGGTCGTTAGCCTGCTCGAGGCTATTGTATGCATCGGACAAGCTCTTCAGATCGGATTCGGTTTTAATGGCTGTGTCCTTGTGCATCGAGGCTTCGGCTTCGATTCTGGCTTTCTCTGCTTTGAGGGTTTCCAATCTTTGGGAATATACGTGCAGATCTCTACGCATTGTTTCTATTTGAACTCTCTCGGAGCCGCTGCTGCTTTTGTGTTCGGTGTGAGATGAACCACTCCCACCGGCTTTTTGTTAGGTCCTCTACCAGAGTGGCGTACCGACTCAAAAGGTCCTTTTAAATAACAGGGAAAAATAATATTTCAAACACGGGAAAAATGGATGCAAAAGAAAATCGGAAAAAAGGATGCGAAAGGAAATCAGAAAAATACCTGTATCTCGAGGCATTGCTTCTCGACAAATCTTTTTAGCCGTTTGATATATTCCTCATCACTTTCCCCTCTGTTCTGTTCCAGTTCTGCTGGGACCACTGCCACCTGGCTCTTCGGGTGGCTATAAATTTCCACGATTTTTTCTCTAATATTTGCCTCTAACCTCTTCACAAAGACAATAAAACGCGAATCAAGGATCATCTCTAGCATCGGAGGGTCGTCACTCTTCTGATCGTTGGTCTCGTTTTCTTCAACATCTTCAATCTCCGACATGCTGGCGGCAATAGATCTGCTCAGTGGTTTGCGTGCCATAGCTGGCTTTGCAGATGTGAAGGGCAAGCTTTTCTGCATTTCATCAAACTTTAGGAAGTACGACGTAAGTCCTATTTTCTGGCTTACGGCATCGACAATGCTATACGCATCCTTGTCGATGGTTTTATTGTATACAACACACTCTCCCAAGAGTATAGCAGCCAACCCCTTTACACATGCAGTCGCAGTTTGATTGGATATTAACTCGAGCAAATATGTTAGATGAGGACGTGAATCGAGGAAGCACTGAACCGCACTTGGACAATCGAAGAGCCAAATAACTAGCAATTTTAAAATAATTGGGTGAACATACATAGAGCCGGATGCGCTTGCATTTCCGTCTTTATTTTTCATAGACGAGGCAAGAGCTAGGTACTTCACCATACGGTGCATGAAAGGCTCGGGACCACCTAGTGATGGTGTAGGCGCTTCAAGTTCAATTTTAAGAACCTGCAGCAACTTCTGTATTATACTAAGAAGAGAGGTATATATATGCTCACACACACACACATTCATACACACACTGGTGGAAACGAAATTTTGTACCTTCTCCTTGCAGTAAATATTATCCTTCAAAATATGTGACAGGACACTAGCAGCTCTGCAGCAAGCCTGCACAAATTTGAGAAGAAGAGAAGGTAAAACGATACTCTGCAGTAGAGGGTGGTGAATGGCGGTCGAAACTTACTGCAACTATGTAACATTTAACATATCCCCAGTACAATTAAATATTTTCTTATAGTAACCCTTCTGGCTTCAAAATTATTACTCGACATCCATATTTTCTACTTTGTTGTACTAATGCAGATTAACAATGAGCAGCTCAAAAAATATAAAAGCCCATTAATAAAGTTGAATGAACAAAACCAACATAATGGAAGATTCTTTTGACATTTAAAGAGTAAATAAGAAAAAACGACAATATAGATATACTATTTAAAGACTGCAAGTTCTCATTTTGCGATCCTCTTTTAGTGCCCCAGATATTCACGAACTAAAAAACAAATCATGATGAAAATGGGGAGTAAAACTTTAAAAATACCAAGTCCAGCTTCAGTGGTATAAAATTCTGAAGGACCACTTCTCATAAGAAAGAACTTAGTTAAAATTTAAAACCGCATGAAATATACAGCATTACCTCGAGATCGCCATCACTTTCACTCAACGTCAAACCGTGCAATAGCATGCTGCAAGAACAGAACTATTAAACATTTAATCCACACTTTAAAGGGAATGATCCAGTAAATATATGAAAACAAAAAGAACCTTCCAAATGACATGTTAACATCCTCCTCAAGTTGACCATGAACAATTGAGTGCGGTTGAGGAATCAAAGTTGATGCCAGCATTTTTTGACCCTCGGGATTTTTCTGGTCCAAATTGAAAGCACACCCAGAAATGGATCAATAGAAAAATAAATAAATTGTTCTAGTTCAGCATCACAGATGACAGATGTAGATTTGAATTAACATCAGGATGACTCAGACACATACAATATTACGAAATAGTTATTATTGAAGAAATATTGGCTCAATTGCCAGCGCACTCCAAGTAAGTATACAAACCTCACAAAAGCTCTTAAAAACATAGTCAGCTGCAATGAATTCTTGCACGCTAGAAGTCCGCAAAATAATCCTAAGGATGGAATTTACGGCAGGCTCAGCATCCGGCTCCTCTCCAAGTACTTTACTTGCAAGGGCATCACGGTTCTTTGGATGATCGGTAATCAGATCGCCTATGCATCGGAACGCCTAAAATGGTTATAGCATTAACAGTTAACATCAGACACTCTGAAGAAAATTTTCAAGAGTTTATAATGGAAGCATATACTTTAGAAGTGGACGCATTCGTAGGACAAAAGGCTCAACTCATTTTTTGGTCAGAACATAGCCTTATCGTGCATAGTGCATACGAGATGTTGAGTTAAGCAATATTTATGTAGAAAATCCACAAGCTATAAAAAAATAAGATGTCAACTACTTATAATCTATTAGAAAAAACGTAAAGTAATAAGTCCTCTATGATCTAATAATCTCTTCTACTTCTTTCTCATTTGAGAAATAATACCACCTTGCGTTAATAATTCTTCTGAGCTCGGAAAGCTTATATAATCCAAACAGTTCAACTAAGTTTTCTACTGAAATACAAAAACACCAAAGACAAAACTAATAAACTTTTCACAATTTTACAAATTAACTTAATTTTAAAAACTAAATAGATTCTTTTACTTTAAGCAAAGCTTCTGCTTCTGCTTCTTCTGCATTGGTAAAACACGGTATTTCTTTTTAACATTATCACTCCGGAAAGTATTGAAATGCCGAGGACACAAAAGTAGGTTTTGAGTATCAGAAATAATACATCAGTAAGGAACAGTTATCTCACCATACAACGTAGAGCAACAGGTGCCCATTGGCTCTCAACTCCCAGCACCAAAAGATAGTCCAACAGCTTTTTCTACAATATTAAAAAAAACATTTTTGAGTAAAATAAAAATAAGTCTATGAGGAATAATGTTTTATACTTTTTCTTTTAATGAGAATTTGAACATCTAACTCAAACCTGAACCAAGACTGTTTTATTTGCCGACCCATTGGTGTCTTTTCCAGGATCAGTTTGTGAACTAGCATGCAGTATCAAGGCAATGGTATCCAACACACTGAGTAGATTTATTGTCTACTGGCAACCATTTGGTTAAGAGAAAAGGTTAGAACTAGCACTTGCATGGTAACATTTGCTAGCAACGAGGATTATGTTAAGTTGCAAGAAAGTAAAGCATTAACCTTCTGCTGTGTGAATTTGTACGTGCTTCCTCTAAGCTTCAAAATTGAAATCAATGGTTCAAAGCCCATTGTCTCCCTAAGCAATACCTATAGCACTTTCAAATCAAGTTAGAAGCAATAAGACAATCCATCCAATATTAAACGCTATTAGAAACATGCGAGGAAAAGTAAGATAATCAAATGGCAGAAACCTGATTCGAGGCGTTATTCCGGAGAAGATTGTTTAATAGTTCCAGACAGTCCTGTATGCAACACCAAAGATAAACATGGCAATAATATCAAAAAGGCTTGCATTAGTCAATTAGTGAGAGTTGTCGTTAAATCAAAGTTTCAATCATAACACCTGCACCACGACGCCACCTTCAGAACCACCTTCCTCTTTAATGATGCTAAAGATCTTCTCAAAGGCACCTTCAAAGACCAGAATTTTTTGAATTTCCTGAATTGTAAAGATACTAATGAGCCCGGAAAATGGATAAATAGAGTTACATCAAAAAATGATTTTCGGCAACGGTATATATATATATATGGACTTCAATTTGCACCGTGATATATAATCACTATTTCAACTGGTCAAAATTGATATCAGAACTTACCTCAGCTTCGCGAGTCAAGTATGTGAGAAGTAATAATGCCTCATTGCGTATAACCTCCAAAACAAAGAGACTTGCAAATAAGCATGAGTTTGATAGGTAGAAAAAAAATGAAGCATCTTATTAAGTCTATCAGCAAGATACCTCCCGTTCCATGAGCATATCCATAAGCCTTGTGACACCACGAGGAACTGTTAGAATAGCTTCCTGTAGTCTGTAAACATCACCGATGACATACTCTTAGAGTTGGGTAAGAAGGGCAAAGCTTTTTAAACCAAAATGAAAGAAATTATACCTGTTTGGTGAATTTGTAAGAAGGGCTGTCAACAACTGCAATGTGTAATACCGTATGTAGAAGTCCTCCTCTGACTGCAAAGGTATTAAGTTAGCAAATGATAGATACACATTATCCAAGTTCAATCTCTTCCAGAAGATCAGAAAGCAATCTTACCAGCAGACTCAAAAGAAGAGAAATGCTTTCTATTTCCCTCGAAAGCAGATCACTGTTCATCAACGCTGGTTGAACCTCATTTTTCGATGATCTAGCGTGCTCAATAGGAGTTAAGGCACTTACAAGAGTTTCCAGAGCCCCTCGGACCTTCATACATTCAACGACAAGTTTTTAGCACCATACAAATCAGGACTAAAAAAAAATAAGCCACAGGCAAAAAACTGCATTACCAATAGAAACTGCGGAAAAGGTATTAGATATAAGTTAACTGCAAAAGACACTCTCAACTGAGACAGAACTTTCAAAAGTAAAAGTAAACACTATACGGGTCGACAGCTACTTGACGATGAAATTTTTGCAATCAGAAGTTTGAAGATTGCAACACTGTTAGGTGGTGTAATATATAGCCAAAGCTAATATTTGGACAGCCAATATCGGTTTTGGTTAAAACAGAAAAACTGAAGTCAGGAAATCGATGATCTTAAATCAATTAACTTCTTTGCATACATGTCTGAGCACATTCCAATCCACTTAAAGTGCAGGTTCAAATTGTATAACTGGAGACTTACTACCAAATTGACATAAGTTAGAGACAATAACACCAAACTACGGGGAGACTAAGTAACAAACTGAATGTAAAAAGGAAGACAATAGAAGCTGCAAACCATTTCTACATCATCGCGCTCCTCCTTTAAGACACTCAACAATACTGGAAAGCCTGCATTGAAAATTAAAGTTTAGGGCAAAAATGACATCACACTTGTAAACAATTGGAAGTAAAAAGCCTAGCAGATTCATAAAGACTAAAAAAAAAAAAAAAAAAAAAAAAAAGAGAAAAAAAGAGAAAAAAACAAAAAACCAACCCATTGCCCCAAAAGCTAACTGAGCAGCACCGCTTTCAGCTACGACTGCCTGAAGTTCAGCCATGGCACTCCTCCTATCCTCAGCCAGTGAGCCATTGCTAATGCGATCAAGCAACCTCTCGACATAACTATCAATATGAACCACATAAGATTATAATTTGATGGAGCCCATGGATAACATAATTAAGAACATTCATAAGGTTAAATCTACATTTGAGGAGTTCTTCAAACTTTAAGTGTATTGTTCACGTCGACACTAGGAATTTTCCTCCAAAAAGAATATTATAGGAAGCCATGGATTTGTGCATAAAGTTACATAATTTACACGTTATGGATGTTCTAGATGCCTCGTAAAGTTGAGAAGGAAAAGAAATTTAACAATGACTCGTCTGACATTAGATTAGTTTACTGATTACTGATTACTAGTATTTATAACTCTACTCCTATTAAGTATTTATTCAATAACTCATCTCTTTACCTATTTGTAGTATTATAAAAAATTACATGATTGAATATAGCTTATTCTGAGCGACATGCATCGCATGTATAATGCATGCATACATTATTCAGAAAATAAGATAAAACAATTACCTATCGTCATTTGAGCTCGAATTGTCATTTCCAAAAACACGTCCCACAACGCCCTGCATTACGAGTCATAATAAACATAAGAAATAATTATAAATATAAAAAAAAGACAAGCTAAAGCACAAGACATATTCAGCACGCATAGCTAATCTAAAGTTTAAACACACACATTAAAAAATGAAATTAGCTACAAAAAACAGAAACAAAAAGCACACAATTTAGAACAAAGAAACAATTATCAGAAAGAAAAAAAGAAAAAAAACAGTAATTGGTGGAAAATAAAGGCAAATCACCTGGTACTTGGATACAAAATCCATCTTCCTCTGCCTAAAGGAATCAGAACTGCTTGAACTTCCACAATGCACTACACAAACAGAGTACCAAATTCAATATCAATAATCTAAACTACGAGTCAAAGCTTTTGATCACAAAATAACAAACGTTAGGAGCATTAATTCTCGGTTCGCATAAAATCGGTCGAAATAAATATGTTTCTGCATAAAATTGATGAAGAAGATCAAAATCGAAGAACCCTAGATTGAAAATTCGTTAATTTTACCTGTGAAAGAGATCGACCAGAGAGAAGGGGAGGATTCCGGGGAGAGAGAGAGGCTTGATTTGACAGGGTCGGGTCAAATACTTTCAATTTGGATGTAATAAACTTGATTTCGATAATGGATTTTCTTTTTTGTTTTTTTTGTTTACCTGAATCCAGATTTCGAAATTATTTGCTTCTTTAATTGGGCTAATTGAGTAATTGATCCAATTACATTTTTGGGCCATTCTTTAATAGTGAATTGCGTTTTGCGCCCAGAAATAACACTAATAGGCGATTTCCACCCTAACATTTTAGAATTCACAAAGTTCACCCTCAAATTATGTATCTCATGGCAAAGTGCACCCTATGTCAACTTCATGTGTGATTCTAATAAAACAAAGTCGATAAATTAATACAGTCGTGACTAGGTAAATTTTATTAATCTAGTAAAATATTAAATTATCAAATTAAACTAATAGTTTTCCCGAGTTCGAACCGAAAGAAACTATTATTTAATTTATCGAGGTTTTGTTGCATCATGATACTCTATCTCAAAATTGATTATATGTTGTCAAACAATATGATGTTTTCTTTACTTGATTTGAAGGTATAGGATGAAATTCGTTGTAAAACGTCGGAAATGCCCTTAATGTTGTACATCGTCTACTCATTTCATCTTCTTTATAACGGACTAAAAATTCCTCTCACCTACAAAATTCCATTGAAATTGGGATCCAATTTTCAGTTGTCTCGGAAAACGAGTAGTGGTAGTTGGGGTTCGAGGAGAAGTACGACGACCAACAACAGATATGATGGCGGGGCGCAATCGGAATTTTGTGATTGCGGCTTCAAGCTTCGTCTGCAAACTTATTGGAACAAAGCGAATCAGGGACTAAAATGAATTTTACCCGAATGGAGAGTGGGGAATGATTTCACAGGGCAATTACGTAATTTCACCTCACAAAGTTTGATACCAATCGCACAAACCGCGATTGAGTTGCACGATCTCGCGTCTGGGGGTAATGTGCCTTTGACTAAATTTCACTTTTGCTAGTTTATTTATCAAATAGGGTTTTTATAGGAATAATAGAATAGGAGAAAGAGAGAAATAATAATACATAATATAATAGAAACCCCCATTATGTTATGGGTTGATTACATGGAATATATATAGAGAAATATTGCAAGGTAATAGAGTTTGACTAGGTAACTAAATCCTAACTAATCTAGGTAACCGAATCATACTAGAGTCCTAATATCAGGAGAGTTCTATAATACAATATTCTCTAACACGCCCCCGCAGTCGAAACGTGACGAACGTGAAGACTGGGCAATCACTTGCTAGCACGCTCCCGCAGTCGGAACGAAGAAACTCCAAAAGTGAAGACTGGACAGAAGTCGCGAAACACAACGCTAGAGAATTCCTCTGTTGAAATATCTGCCCAATTTAAAATAATAATAATAATAATAATAATAATAACGGGTGAGAGAAAAAATAAGCATTTTTTTTTTTTTTTTTTTTTTTTAATCGAGATAGAGAGAAGAGATGAGAGAGGGGGGAAGAAGATTGGGTGGTGTTCGCCGGCCATGGAGAAGAGAAGAGGCGGCGGCTAGGTTTTAGACCATGGAGAAGAAAAGAGGAAGAAGATAGATAGATAGAGTACCACCACCGGGAGGGAGATAATTGATTTGGTGGTCGCTGGCCATCGAGAAGAAGAGAGGCGGCGGCGGCTAGGTTTTAAGCCATGGAGAAAAAGAAGAAGAAGAAAATATAGGAAGAAGAAGAAGAAGAAGAGATAGAGAAGATGCACCACCGAGAGAGGGAGAAAATTCGGTTTGGTGGTCGCCGGCCATTGAGAAGAAGAGAAGCGGCGGCTAGGTTTTAGGCCATGGAGAAGAAGAAGAAGAAGAAGAAGAAGAAGAAGAAGAAGAAGAAGAAGAAGATAGAAAAGGATGCACCACCGGGGGAGGGAGAAGAAAAATTGGGTGGTGTTCATGGAAAAGATAGAAAAAAAAAAATAAAGAAAAATATTAGAGTACCACCACCAGGGGAGGGAGAAAATTGGGTGGTCACCGCCATGGAGAAGAAAGGCGGCTAGGTTTTCACCGCCATGGAGAAGAAAGGCGGCTAGGTTAAAAAACCTAAACCTGGAGCTCTGATACCATATAGGAATAATAGAATAGGAGAAAGAGAGAAATAATAATACATAATATAATAGAAACCCCCATTATGTTATGGGTTGATTACATGGAATATATATAGAGAAATATTGCAAGGTAATAGAGTTTGACTAGGTAACTAAATCCTAACTAATCTAGGTAACCGAATCATACTAGAGTCCTAATATCAGGAGAGTTCTATAATACAATATTCTCTAACACGCCCCCGCAGTCGAAACGTGACGAACGTGAAGACTGGGCAATCACTTGCTAGCACGCTCCCGCAGTCGGAACGAAGAAACTCCAAAAGTGAAGACTGGACAGAAGTCGCGAAACACAACGCTAGAGAATTCCTCTGTTGAAATATCTGCCCAATTTAAAATAATAATAATAATAATAATAATAATAATAACGGGTGAGAGAAAAAATAAGCAATTTTTTTTTTTTTTTTTTTTTTTTTTTTTTTTTTTTTTTTAACCCCGATAGAGAGAAGAGATGAGAGAGGGGGGAAGAAGATTGGGTGGTGTTCGCCGGCTAGGTTCTAGTGCTAGCAGTTTTCACTATTTTGAGATTACACATGGAGGGGTACTTTTTACAGTTTACTCATTTTTCTTTTTTTTTTTTTAATGCATTGAACATTTTCTGTGATCGTGTAGTTTCTTATTTCAGCAGATGTGTGTATTTGTCAGTGGGAGTGCGTGTGTGTGTGATTTTGGATCGGACCGGGTTTATCTTATTCAGGAGTTTCTGAAGCCCTTCATTGGAATAGAGTCGCAAGTTTCCTTGGAAAATCGAGCTTCTTATATTTTCTTGTTGGAGCATGATATTTTTGAATTTGATTGTTTAAATTATTTAGATTGGACAAAATGCACTTTGGCCCCTTACAAATTTTGAATTTTTGCACTTTCCCTCCAACAAATACAGAAAACAGATTTCCCCCCTTCAAAATTTGTTCCAGTTGCAGTTTGCCCCAAATTACAATTTTCAGACGTATTTTTCATCGGAAATGCAATCAATCCGTCCAATTGAAGGCTATTTGGGTCATTTCATGGACAAATCACCATAATAGCTACTGATTGAAGTAGAAATTGAAGGTTTTGGCAATTATGGGACCACAATAAGCACAATTCCTTAGTAAGAAAAAAAAAAAACCATAATTTTTTTTCTTCTGAAATCAGTCAAATAGGTTGTGTTTTTTTTCATCTATTAGAAAAGATAAGGATATCAACATTTGGATGATAATAATGAAATAACTCAAATGCCCTTGAAGTGGACAGATAAATCGCAATTCCAATGAATAATAAGCCGAAAATTGTGATTGACGACAAAGTGCTAATGGAACAAAATTTTGAAGGGGCAAAACCTCTTTTTTTTTTTAATTTGTAGTGGGGAAAGTGTGAAACTTAAAATTTTTTATGGGCGAAAATGCATTTCGTCCTTTAAATTTTACATATAAGAACCACTTGAAGATGCTAAAATAAGATTATTTATGACCCAAGAAAAATCAATTAGTAAGTACACAAATTTATGAAGAAGCATGACCTAAGACACGCAACTATACGACATCGAATCTACTATTAATCGTCAATTTTACATGAAGTGATAATTTAACAATACATAAATAAATGCATAAAGAGCTAAGCTCAATAATAAGCGCGGATCATTATCCGAACAATTTAAAACATTTATTTTAAAAATAAGATGTAATAGCTATTCGATCAGCTATTAAAACATCTTATCAGACGTAAGAACTTCTCAGTTGTTTAAAATAAGCTTAGCCAAACGAGCTAGCTCTAGATATATCTTCACTTAAGTAAGACGAGGGTCTATATATATGAATAAAACAAACTTCATGGGGTGAAAAAGAAAAAGAAAAAAAGAACTACATTTTTTTCCTCGATCTACATGGAAGCCAATAAATCTCTCATTTGTGAGACATCTGGTATATTCTCGCCTGGATATATTTTAGCTACTAGTTGCGCGAAGCTGTCGTACTTGTCGAGGAACTCTTTCTGCATACAGTAGTTAGATTATATAAGTAACAAATATAAGAGTACTAAAGCACGTGCGTATGCATTTTTTTTCTTTTATCAGAAACTCTCTATGGCATTTTGTTGTTCTTACATGTCGTTTATTTAATTGCATTTTCTTGAATTCTTTTTCGGATTTTCTTGCATTTTGCTAGAAAATCCCGAAAATAAGTGAATAAATTGTGAAAATTCCCGTTATATCCGAATTTGGAACAAGAGATTACAAATTAATGCTCAGAAATTCCCGAAATTCAGCCGATTTCGAGGTATTCTGAAATCATAATAGATTTTTGAATTATGTTTTTTTTAGAATGGAAATTGGAACCCATTTTTTACTTTAGAAAAAAAATGGATATTTTCCGAAAAAGTCATTTCCGATCAATTCCGTCCGATTTCTACCCATAATTATAGATACGTACCTTGCACTTGTCCCATAATGAAGGCAACAGTTCCTCGGAGGTCAAATTCTTCTGCAACTTCTTATACATTGTAGTGATGGACTTATCAACCTACAACATTAATGCAAGACAACAATTATTTTACCAAACATTGACCGAATTCCCAACAACGATAGATTGCAAGTACGTTTTCATACCCCAGATAAACTTGATTTGACGACCTTTCGTAGATCAACTTTCGACAATCCAAGCTGGAACGGTATCTGCAGATTTTTTCACCATAGTTTATTGGACTTTCGAAAGGAAAAGAAAAAAAGATATTGACATCGGAGTATTTACAAGTTAAGCTGATTTGCATTTCGGACCACTTCCACTTGGTGTTTACAAAAAATTATTTAAAAGCAGAAGTTATGAATTGTGAGTTAAGTTGGTTTTAAGTGCTTATATCTAAAAGTTGGGGGTATTTGCAAATTTACTGGAAAAATAAACTTAAATAGAAAAAGCAGGGTCATGGGGGTGCTTAAGTGGTGTTTGCAAATATTTTTAGAAATAGATTATGAGCTTTTTTCTGCATATAATCTGTTTTTAGGTGTTTGCAAAACAAGCTTTTGCTTTTGCTTCTATCAAAATAAGCTGCTTTAAGCTATAATTTTAAAAGCACCCATATATACCTGTTTTTCCTATTTTAGTTGATTTTCCAGCTAATTTGCAAACACCCCCAACTTGTAGAAACAATCACTTAATTCCAACTTAACTCACAATCACTAACTTCTGCTTTTAAATAAGCTTTTGCAAACGCCACCTTAACAAGTTTTAGCTTAAAGTTGCTTAAGAGAAGCAAAAGTAAGAGTTCGTTTTGCAAACACTTACAAATAAACTAGGAGCTTAAAAAAGCTCATAATCTACTTGTAAAAACGTTTGCAAATACCACCTAAATCAAGAAACTTATTTTTTAAACATGAAGAATGTTCGATCGAATCGTAAGGCAAATAATCAATGCATAGTTCAAGCTAACCTCTTCGGGTGTGATTGTGCACATTAAATCCTCTATTCTGCGAGCAAACTGGAATAGTCGTTCAAATTGCTGCAGAGTTGAGAAATAGTATCGTAAAATTTCGAAACAAAACTCGAAACAAAAAATTAATGGCATGAAAAATAAGACTACTACTTACATAGTATATGATTGTGCTTATAAAGCGCGTGCAAGATTGTTCGTAAGATTCACTCGCTTGGTGGTAAAATTTTGCCAAAGTGGCTACAACGTTAGCCAGTTCATATAGACTGTATACATTAATTCAAACCAGGTGATAAGTATAATAACTGGAAAAACAGTTCTAATATTCATAATTTTTTTAGTCAATATTTACGGATACCCCTAAGGTAAGACTAAATAATTTACAACCGCCCCTAAAACTAACAGCCCGTTATAAACCCTAGCGGAATGAATGAATTGTCTAAATTACCCTTTTATTAAACAATCAAACTTTGGGTAATAAATTACGGAGACTCCAGGTAAGACTAAATAACGTACAAACCCCTGAGATATTGGTAATTATAAATTCTCCCAAAAAACCTAAGTACCTAACAGCCCATTATAAACCCTAACGGAATGAATGAAGTGTCTAAATTACCCTTTTATTAAACAAACAAAACTTTGGGTACATTACGGATACCCCTCAGGTAAGACAAAATATTACATTTACCCCTGAGGGTAGATCTGCAAATTCATATCGAATATTCTTCAAGATTTCTTTAGTCATAGTTCCATAAGGGTGTGTAACTGTTAAATGGAGCAATAGTTGAAGAGGGTATTTGCAATTATCAACACAATATGGGTGTATAAGTTATTTGGTCAGTTCTCAGAGGGTCCCCGCTATGATGCACGTAAGCTGCAACCCACACGTGTTTTCCACGTTTCGGAAACCAAAACTCCAATCCATGACACCTGCTGGAAACGTTTCGTGGCCGTTTCCATAAATATTTACAAGTTTCGGGGAGGTTTCTGATAATAATGAAAAATTGAAAACGCGTTTCCACTCAAAATAAACCCAACTTTCATTTTAAATAAAAACTCCAAATTGCATACGCTTAGAAAAATCTTAAATATTTATATCTCCCCTTTTCACTTCTAGTGGTGTTTTAATATTTTTGTAGATGTTAATTCTAAACTAAAATAAATTTATATGCTCGAATGTAATTTGTGGAATGATATTAAACATTATAATATTTTTAGAAATTATGAATGCACCCCTATATTTTTATTATTTACGCGTTTCCCCAGGTTCCCGTATCCAACTTTTTGGTAAACAGAGTTTCCCCATGTCCGTTTCCTTATTTCTCCGTGTCCGCATTCCCGTGTCCGTGATTAATTTACGCTAAATTTAAAGTGATAATAACAGGCAAAACCAAAATTGTACAGTACCTGTTCTGAAAAGCTGCATAATTTTCTAAGAGCAAAACATCTGCATATTTTGTGTCTGCTTGAGCGATTTTGTCCAACGTCACAAACATTATGGTGACCTGCCAAACAACATTATTGTCAAGCATATACATGTCTACAAGAATCTAAATTTCAATGATAAAACATTTCTTAATTACTTCTCACATGATAAATTACGGGTACTCCTGAAGTAAGATCGATAAAATGTTACATATTTACCCCCTATAGCAAGTATACTACATTAACCTTTAATTTGGGGGTAGATAATGGAAATTCACATTGAATATTCCATGGAATCAGTGGTGAATCCAAAAATTTGTTATAAGGTGGGCCCAAATTTTCCGAGGTTATGGGGCAGTGCAGCTAAAAAAAATTAGGATTTTTTTGTGAGAAAAACTTAAAATAGGAAAAGAAAAAAATTTAAGAGTTTTTGTTACATTAATTAATATTTTGAGTGGCTAATTACTAAAAATTAGGTGGACTAAATAGATATATACGTATAATATAGGGAAAAAAATATAAATTGCGGGTGCGCTTGAGTCCACCCTTGCCCAATGTTGGACTCGCCCTAAATAGAATCTTCAAAGTTCTGTTAGTCATTGCTTCGTAAGGATGAAACTGTTAAACAGAGCATGCAATAGTTGAGGAGGCTGGGGTATTTGTAATTACCGATACCAGAGATGGGGGTGTAAGTTATACGGTCATATTTCAGGGGGTTCAATTCCTCTCGTAATTTACCGTATTTATTATTTGATAGTGTTAAGAGCAAACCACTCACAAATTTTGTGTAAGCCTGATCAACCAAATCCCTCGACTGTCCCTGAATGTACTGCTCCATACGTGTTGCAAGAATAGCAAACCTGTCCAAAACAATTTATTAAGGCCCTGTTTGGTTGGAGAGATTAGTCATGATTAAATAAATAATTAGACTTTATATAATGTTTGGTATTCCCATTAACTTATCAACCCGCAAATATTATGTTATCATGACTTATCTTGCCTTGACTTTCTAGGCATGTTTATTGGTAGACGTCTCAGCGTCTAACAAAATAATTGGATTTTCATCAGATTATTTAATCTTATCGTGGTTAATCCTATCTTGACAACCAAACGAGGCCTAAGTCTAGTTTACCTGGGTATATATGACAAGACTCCCACCTGCCGAACATTTCTCTCATTTCTTTCGATCTGGTGGCAAGCTTCATCAACAAACTGATCAAACACATTACATATCAATAATAATCCTTACCGTGTGTGCGCGCGCGCGCGCGTGTGCGTTTGTATAACTTACACGACTAAACTGATTCGAAATTCTGTTCTCAATGTCATCAAGTAAAATACGGACAAACCCTGCAGCATCAGCTTTCTGACCGGAAATATAGCGTTCAGTAATTCCATGCATTGATATACAACGCAGTGGATCAATCTTACACGCCCAATCCACCACAGCATAGAAATCTTCCTATTTAAAAAGTCAACAGGGGAGTCAATATACATACAACAAAGAAGAGAAAGAGAAAGAAATATGGGCAAATTACGGCCACCCCTGACGTATGGCCAAATTACGAAAAAAAATTCTCTTGTTAGGGTAGGGTAATTACAGCTACCTATTTTTTAAATATTTTTACATAATTTTTTTGTAATTCGGTTATTTACCGAACCAAATCGTATATTCAGTTCGGTAAACATTATGAAATGTTGGCGTACCAAAAATTCGGTTTGGTTTTACCGATTTAACATTATTAAATTTACAACGGGAGGGGTGTTTTCATAAAATAATACATAGTTGAGAGGTGGATGTAATTACCCAAACAGGAGGGGATTTTTTGTAATTTAACCATAACTCAGGGGTCGCCGTAATTTGCCAAAGAAATAAGAGCATGCAATTCAAGATTTAATTTACTTGTATTCCATCGAGCAAATCACAAAGCGACACGTTTAAGGCCTCCAGATCCGCAGTTTTTTTACCTAATAAACAATTGAGAAAAGGTATAGTATAAAATGAGGACTTTGAGATGCTACACCCGGTGAAATGAAATACATCGGGTAATTATTAACCGTTGATGTGGCAATAAGCACACATACACATAGATGTGTATGTGTGTGATTGTGTGCAGATCAACGGTTAATAATCACCATGTGTATTTCACCATGGGTAGTTCCGTAATTAACTACCTGCAGCTTTGTCATTGTCATCGATGTCCGTGGTACCCGAATCATCATTAGAGCTTCCGCCTAATGGTACTTCAAAGCACATGAAGTTCGCAAAGAAGGAACTCTGCGTTTCGTACGAGGTGATGTTATTTACGAGAAAAATCATTTTTTGAGAGAGAGAGAGTAAGGGTTTCAAAGAGTCGGTTGTACGTAACCTCATCCACAAGGAGCGGAATGAAAACCGTGAGCATTTTGGAGTATGCCTCGGAAACCGTAGATGTGTCTACTGCACTATTTGCACTTTGATTAGAGGCTGCAGAACCATCGAACCACACAGTTGGAATCTTTGGTGCTTTTGTACTAGCACGAAGCTCATTTGCAAACTCACGAGCCTGGCATGCGTGCAAACGTAAAACCATGTAATAAATGTCCGTGTGTATAAATATATATATATTTCATATTTATTCAAGATGAGATGTTCCCCTAAAACTAGTAATAGGCCTTTGCCAAAAACAAGTTTATGCACCTCTCGTCGTAAAAGCAAATTGAGAGAGCCGCAGTAAGCTTTCCTTAAAGGTCCTAAGCAATTCTTATCGAGACTCTGCAAAAAAGGAACGGACATGCGCATCGATCAGAAGTAAGGTGTTGAATGATCATCTCAACCAAAAGCTTAAGCTGTTAGTGAAATGTATCATTTAATATTAATATCTCCAACATGCCCCATCAAGTGCACGCGAAAAGTGAAATGTATCATTGAATATTAATATCTCCAATACATCGTACACACGTACCTTCATGTGTTGCAAAAGGCGAGCGTATGTCCTACATTTGTACCGCAGGTCCGCATGATCGGGCCTCTTTAGTTGTCCACGCTGGTATATATAACCCAAGTACAAATACAATTCCCTCACTAGCTAGAAGTTTGTTTTTTTTGTTTTTTTGATTAACTGAAAAGCATATTTCGTGCAGTACATACCTGCGAGAAATAGTTCTTATCACTTATCATGAAATCCACCAAACTAGCAAAATAATTCCTCATAAACTCGGATGCTCTTCTAACAAACGTGGTCTTCAACTTATCAAGTTCTGTGCGCTTCTCTCTAACCTGCAAGACTTAAATAATTAAGAACCTGTTAATGGGGCGTGTATTCGAAATGAAGAAAGTTGGATACAGTTTCGACTGAATTTTCGAAACGAAGAAACAATCGAGGCAAGAACTACGTTCTTTTATCCTTAGGACAAAATTGTTCCCGTAACAGCGCTTCGGTTGTGGCAATTTCTTTCTCCTTAGGACAATATTGCCGGTTATGGCAATTGCCTCACAAGATACAACGACTGACAATTTCAACAGAGTAGCAAAACAACTGTTGCACCGGCAAAACTCCAAACATTCCCAAAACCGAAAGCCCAACAACCCACATGTCGCGAGCTCGGGTGGCTTGCACTTAAACTCACACTTCGTTATAATTTATACTTTTAGCTATTCACCTAACACTATTAGAACTGCTTTTAATAAATGCTCTTTTTTCAATGTGGAATAGGTGACTTTCCACCTCCCACCAAGCAATTTGAGCTCACTCTAGCTCATTGAAATAGCTAACTTTGTGCATTAATTGTTCATTCATCCTTTATTGAATTTGAGTAATTAAATACACTACGATTATCCACGCGAAATTATGATTTCATCATTTATGACGCGATTTAATATTGGAATCTTACTTCAACATTTTTTCAAAGTTGACGTGAACACCTCAAATTTTCCAATAGAACCAGCGAAATAAGTAATGAATTATTTTCAGAGGATTGTAGAAATTGGTGAGATTTTAAGATATTCTCTTTTTCATGTGAACTACTTACTTCTAACAATCAAGGTTAATAGAAAGGTATAAAGACAATTAAATCCACATACAGATCTCATCTTTGCATAGGTTCGATCCAAATTGGGTACTTCAAGGCTCCGTAAAGCATCGGCTAGCCATTCGCACGCATCTATATTTTCATGCATTCTTGTCTCGTCAAATGACCCCCCAGCCAGACACGATACGTACTGCATTTAATTTTAAGAGAAAAATAACGAATAAGAGAAAAATAACGAAAAAGAAACAAGATCAAACTAATGAATTACATGAAGAAAAAAAACTAATTACAATTAAACCTCTATAAATTAGTCGGGACTGAAAAATTCTATTAATTTAGTGAAATATTAAATTATCGAGCTAACAAATTAGTACGTTTTTACCCAGTCAGGACCGTAAGAATTATTATTTAAGCGAGGTTATTAATTTATCGAGGTTCTACTGTATATGCAAAGACCTCTGATGGTATATGCAGTCTTTCAAGAAGCTTATCAAGTTCCTCAATTAGCGATTTGTTGTTTACCGACTGCATTTCCAGTTTGTTATTCCGGGTTTCAATCTGCACACGAGTTGAATTTTTTTTTTATTTAAGTTCAAAAGATCACATTTAATATGGTAAGTAATGAGAAATAATATAAAAAAAATTGTGTAGCGATTAATACCGACTCAATGTCCTCTCGCATGTGCCGTAGTTTTACATTGAAAATACATAACCACTCGTCCATATCCTCAACGCAGTTTGTTGCTGACTCAAGCCCCTGTAACACCTGCATAACCCAGAGAAAAATAAATCAGGTTATATGAAAATGTAAAAAGAAAACGAAACTTCAGACCTCAAATATTGGTTGGGTCTGAATGACTACCTCAACCAAAAGTTTAACCTGTTAGTGAAATGTATCATTTAATATTATAATATCTCCAATAAAGTATTTATGTCCAGCTCCTCTTTTATTTTTTGTTCAATCATTTTTTTTTTTTGCGTTTCCAACAATTCTTTAGATCTGGTTGCATCAGCCATTTTGCATCGGTTTTATGGTCCTTTCTTGGATTTATTGGCCATTAGAAAAGATTGAGAGGGACGACGAGACGACATTGCATCTCATAAGTTCTGTTTTTACTCGGTTTGTACAAATCCATGGAAAAATTAAATTTCAACTATTTTGTACGGACCAAACTGAAGATTATAAGGTCCGATAAGTACAGCACCCTCGGACCATAGACAATCCCTTGTTACTTTTGTCATTCAACGGATTAATAGTTGCATCTTTACTAAATGACAAGTCAGACTAAACAGAGACATATTTCAGGTGTGTTACCACTAAGCAATCTTAAAGCACTACACAAATTATTCTGCAGAAAAAAAATAACAAGGAAATGTAGGGAGAGATTTATTTTTTGGCTATAAAAATTAGGAAGGAGAAAGTATAGAAATATAACAAAAAAATGAATGAAAAGCATGTATGCATGCACATAACATAAAGAATAAAAAAAACAACCTCTTGTATCAAAGGCTCATTCTCCAAAATTGCATGTACATTCGCGGCTTCTAATGCTTGAAGCTCTCGCTTCAATCGCTCGGAAAACGCCTCGGCTTCGCCAATACCCATGACATAACTGCAAGTTATGTAATTTTGAGTAACATCATCAATGAGTTCATGAAGTAATACGGAAAGAACAAGAGTTTTTAGCAAGCGATACCCCTATGATAGTTCTAATTGCTAGAAAAGTCCATGTGTTAAAGTATTAGCATTTACCCCACCCTATGAAATATAGTCAAATCCATGAAACCCTCTAGTCCATGATCGTGCAGTGCAATACACTCGCCAACTATGTGAGTGGGAGTGTGTTTTTCGGCTGAAAATACTTAATTACCCTCTAAACTAGAAATTTCAAAAATTATAGATTCACCCCAGTATTTTTGTAACCAAAATAAAATTTTCAAAAGTTTCAATTCAGTCCCTGATATTTTCCATAAAGCCCTCTCTCCCATTGAAATCCAAAAACACGTAGCTATGTTTGTTACCGTTTTCAAATTCTTTTCACACTTTCCCCAAAATGAATTTTTTTTTTCTACACTATTTTCAAAAACTTTCCCCAAAACAAATTCAAATATTTCTCTCTCTAACAAACATTATTTGACCGCTACAGTAAAAATTGTCTTCACTAAAATACAAAATCAAATCACTTTATCTTTTAAATTCTTCTTCCAAAATACCTTTTCCCAACACCTTTCAGACATGATTTGACTTGCTACAGTACAAATTATCTCCTCTCACAACACAAACAAACTTATATTAATTTTCAAATTCTTCTCCCAAAACATCTTTCTCCAAAATAAAATGGAAATGGAAGCCCACAAACTTACCAAACAGAGTAGTAACACACACAAATACACACACTTTCACTTTAATTTCTCTATCCTAGGATATTTGATGTTGGCTGTGTTGTTGGAGAGCAGAGTAAGAATAAGAAGAAAAAGCAAAAGTTTCAGCCTCACCGGTGCGAATAGCTGGTGGTGTTGAGGAAGAACATGAGTTGCATCCCCTCTCTCATTATCTTTTTTTCTTTTTCTTTTTTTTTTTAACACAAATCAATTTATATGTTACCTATATCATTTTAATTAGGGTAGTTTAGTCATTTTACCTAAGTTAACAGCAAAATATGGTGAAATGGGTGGTAGACTAAATAAAACTCATCATAAAGGGATCAATGCTAATTTTTTTAACATAAGGACTTTTCCGTCAATTAGACTTTTGACGGGGCTCTATGCAATTAACTCAAAAGAACAGTGACGATGTTTCACATCGTACTCTTCTCTTTGTTATAACTCTCTATAGATGCGTAACACGAGACGTTCTATACCATTTGATCATAAATTTTACAAATTCATAAGGCACAAAGATCGTAATGGTTGAAATTCAATTACGTACGTGCCTAGAAGAGCTTCCATGTCCTCTTCCTCCGCTTGCGACACGAGTTCTCGTTCAACCGTCAATTTCATGTCACCTTCCGTAACTTCCGCGTAATAAGGGCCGTCTTCAGGGTCCCCCTGCCGCTTAGTAACTACTTGTGTATTTTCCTGTAAAAGTTGTTCATATTTTCAGTTAAACCTCTATAAATTAATACAGTCGGGATTAGTGGAATTCTAGCGAGATATTAATTTATCGAACTAATAATTTAATACATTTTTACCGAGTCAGGACCGAAATAAATTATTATTTAAGCGAGATTATTGATTTATAGAATATTAATATATCGAGGTTCTACTGTACGTATTAAAAACTTAAATACATATGAATTTAATTACTACAATCAGCAGAAGATTGGAAACAAGAACAATTACAACAAACTATATATATGTACAGAGTTAGGCTGAAAAATAAGCTGGACAATATGAATTTGCACCTTAGCCCAAAGAGCCATCTCGACTACATCAATGCCGACGACTTTTGGAAGATGGCCCAAAACATCCTTGCAGATATTTAAGATGCAAAGCAGAAAACGATTCCTACAGTATATAATATCATTAAAAAAATATATAAAAAGTCGATCATAAATTTCTGTAACCGGGATCACTAGCATACCTGTCGTCAAGATTACGCATTGTCCACTGAGGTGGGGCGACGCTCTGATTTCTAAGGTTATCGAAACCCTTCATCGATCGGATCAGTGTTAATAATAATATCAAAAAAAAAAAAGAGCATGATCGAAAAGGGAAATATTTCAAGTTGTGATGTGAAAAAAGAGAGTAAGAAGCTAATACCAGCATAAAAGTACATCCACTAGGGTCATTCGTTACAAGTTCCACTTTCGACAGATGCTTCAGCTTGTACAATTTCGCATGCTATAATCGGAGTAGATAAATTTATGTAAGCCATTCGAAATATCAAACAAACCACGGTTCAATTACGGCCTCCCCCTGAGGTAAGGTCAGATTACGAAAAAATCATCTTGTTTGGGTAATATCATCCACCTTCAACTATGAATCATCTTACATATTCACCCTTATGGTGTCAAATTCAACATAATCTTCTAGATTTCGTGGAATGTTCTCAAGTTTGTACTCGTTCCGTGCAAAAATGCAGTTTCTGATGCACCACAATATGATATTTACAAGCCAAGAGACACATCTTATGAATATCTTGTTTCAAGATGTGGAACTCGATTGGGGTAAAACGGGTACAAGCTGAAGAATATTCCACATAATCTAGAAGATACCACTAAATTTAACACTGTAAGAGTGGACGTGCAAGAAGATTCATAGTTGTGAAGTGGTTGTAATTACTCAAACATGAGGGATTTTTTCGTAATTTGACCTTACCTCATGGTAGTGGCCGTAACCCAACAAACAACGGTAAAATCAGAGAAGTTGCAAAAGATATATAAGTTCGCTACATTTGTCGCTACCATCTTGTTTCTAACTGTCCATTTTTATTCTCGTTCCATATTTTTGCTTCGATACGTACATTATTTTAAACACCATTACCTATATATGTATATATATATATATCCAGGAAGCTATTAACTTAATAAATCGTGCCAAAGCGTTATTGTTCGCAAAAGTTCATCGACGAATTTGAATCAATCGGGTTTTTCGAACATACCTCAAGCACACCTCCATTCGAATATTTGAAGACACGAAGAAAAGCTTTAGTCCTTTTGACTTTTGCCTTTGCTGCATTAATAATGATGTAGTTCTATATATTGCCCAAAAAATAATCAATAACAGAAGAAAATATAGAAATTCATGGGAACATTGGCGTACTTGAAATGCCGAGAACACGAGGCTTCGCCATGTTACCGCGGCCGAGTTTGCCGGATTTGCCCCATATCCCACAACTCTTGGCCACTCTGATAGACATTACGATCTTCTGCTTGGTGCCCTCGATCGCCGCCTCGCACGCACGTCGGAGCTCCTCGTCATCAGCGCTCGACTTCGCCATTCTCCTCCAAGCTCGGAAGAAAACAAAAATGAGTTGGTTGAGTTTTTTTCGATTTTGGTTTCGGTTATTCTTTTTAATTTCAACCCGGCTTGAATTAATTACTTGCTAGTTTTCGGGGCTAATCTTTTGCTAATAATAAAATGAAGCATATAAGAAGAAGAGTTAGTTAGTGTATTACTAACAGACAAGATCACTATCGGTCTATAATATGCTACACTTGGTGAAACATACTGGATAAATCTTTACCATTCATATATACACACAAATACGCACACACCCATATTGGTGTATGTAGATCAGTGGTAAAAAAATGAAGCCTCATTTGTAGCCAAATGCCGTAAAACTTGATAACAAGTTCATAAAATATGTGGTCACATTTCTATCTATGAGTGTCTATTTTAGGTTAGTCTGACTTTGTCTTTGGGCTAAATTTGTTTGGTGTATTAAAACTGAATTTTGATTGAAAATTCTAAACCAATTCTAATTCTGAAGAAAAACATCAAAAATCCGATTAGAATGTAAAGGAAAAATATTCAGCCAAAAGAAAAATAACTAACTTGACCGATTTGAATAATTTCATTTCAATTTCTAGTATATGTAAAAGGACAAAGTTCACTTTGCACCCCTAGATTATTTGATTTGTTCACATACACCCTCAATTACGAAACGTACCAAATACCCCTCAGAATTTGCATTATGATTAAATATGGACGTCATCTATTGGCTTTCTTGTTACAAACAGTTATTATAGCATTTGTCTTTTTCTGACATTTTTACCCTTTTTTCTCACAATTTGCGTGCCTTGTTTTTTTACCTTTATTTTTTTTCTTTTTTTTTTCATTTGACATTAGTCATTTTATTGCTCCTTTTTCTTCTTAGTTTCACTATAATATCTAGTGGCAACTCTAGTTGTCATCATTAAGTAATATGAGCTCAATTTCATATGACATTCTAAATCAAACTATATTAGTAATCGGATACCTAATTTCTTTAATTAAAATAAGAATTTGAAAATAGGACATCAAGTCACGGTAAACATCTCCATCAATGTAAGTCGAATCCCCAATATATTCAAACTTCATAAATAGGCATCCATGATGGATTTTAATTACAAAAAATGATCTGCCATTATACTTAAATTAAAAAAAATATGCTCAAATTAATAAAATATTAAAATGAGCTAAACAATTACTTAAGAAATCATCTAAGTACTATTTGCAAAATGGGTTATGTTAAAAAAATAAGGAGATAGTGACTATTTCTTATTTAGGCATAAATATTTCTAAGTACTAAGTTCACATATATTTTCCATAGACTATAGGTGGGGTAAGATTGTAATTTCACAATAAAACATTACAAAACTAATGTATTTACATTTTTGTAAATTTTACCAGAAAATATAGGGGGTTGTTTGGTACGTTCGGTAATTTAGGAGTGAGTATGTTCACACCCCATAATCCAGGGATGCAAAGTGAATTTTGCCCTATATAAAATGTAATATCAATGCGTACAATTTTTTTTAAGTAACAAATGAATCCACAACCAACTACATAGGTGAACTAAATAAAATATGTTCTCTCAGTGCAATATCTTACAAACCATATGAGGGGTATGCAAACCACACTAGACATAAGTTATGTGTGACAAACTCAGCGTAGAATCATGAACAATAGAAGTCGAACTATTTTGCTCCACCATCTAGGCCTCTCTTACCAGCTCTATTTATTTTATTCTTTTAACAAAAATACTTGCAACCATATATACGCAGTGGATAAACCCGATCATATATTTGGTAAAATACACTAGAAATGAACAAGTAGAGCATCCTTTTCACCCCGATCATATTTGGTAAAATACACTAGAAAATGAACAAGTAGAACATCCTTTTCACCATAACCACATTGGCCAATTTGGTATTCAAAGTGGACCCCACTTTCATATGCACCGCATATTTGACTCATTTACTTACACACACCTATGGATAAGCTAAGTACCCTATACACTCAAAATCTCAATACACTCACTCTAACACAAAACACACACACACACACACACTTGCATTTACATACAAAAGAAAGTTCAATACATTTGCTATTTTCTTTCTCATCAAATTGCATACACCTCTACCAATTCTTGGATACACCCAAGAATGAAAAATACTCAACATAAACTTCATCCCATCAAAATCTCTCAAAGCAAAAAAAATGGCTACCCTATTTTCTACACTCCCATCTTCTCCAATACAACACCGGAAAATCCCCTGCAATTCTTGTCCAATCAAATGCTGCCACGAAAAAGCTAACCATAACCATAACTCGCCTATTGTCGATGAAAACGGTTTCCCGGAAAAAAACTTACTTTCGAATCCGAGGGGGTCTAAGCCCCCTCGGCCGAGAAGAATTATACTCGTACGACACGGCCAGAGCCAAGGCAACGTCGACGAGTGCGTCTACACACGTGTGGCGGACCCCAAAGTGATGCTGACTCAGCAGGGGATCTCCGAGGCGGAGGAATGCGGTGAGGAGATTAGAAGGATGATCGAGAAAGACGGAAATAGTGATTGGAAAGTGTACTTTTACGTGTCTCCTTATAAAAGATCACTCGAGACTCTCCGGAATTTGGCCAAGCCATTTGAGAGATCACGAATTGCCGGTGTTCGAGAAGAACCTCGATTAAGGGAACAAGATTTCGGTACATATACGTATAAATAAATACATCATCAATCCCACTATACAAATTTTGATAATACATATGCATTCTTGAACTTAATTCATTCATTTATTACTTCTTTTATTTTTTTGTTACGAAGGAAATTTCCAGGATCAAGAACAAATGAAGATTCAAAAAGCAGCTAGAAAGCTTTATGGGAGATTCTTTTACAGGTTTCCGAATGGTGAATCAGCTGCAGATGTTTATGATAGAATTACAGGTATTAATAGTATGGGCAAATTACGGCCACCCCTGAGGTATGGTCAAATTACGAAAAAAAAAACCTTTTGTTTGGGTAATTACAGTCACCCCCTCCTTTTGAATATTTTTACATAAAATTTATGTAATTCGATTATTTACTGAACCAAATCGTATATATATATATATATATATATATATATATATATATATATATATATATATATAGTTAAAGCGGTATGAAATGTTGGCGTACTGAAATTTCGGTTCGGTTTTACCGATTTAACATCCATAAATTTATCTCTAGAGGGGTTTTTCGTAAGATAATACATAGTTGAGGAGTGACTGTAATTATCCAAACAAAATGGGGTTTTTCATAATTTGACCATAACTCAGGGGTGGCCGTAATTTCCCCTAATAGTAATTATCATCACTATATCTTCATAAAAAATAAAATAAAAATAATAAAAAAATGCTTCTTTTTTATTTATTTTTTGTTTTGTTTAAGGAAGTTGTGGGAATTTGTTAATTTTTAAGGATTTAGAGAGACACTGAGAAGTGATATTGACATTGGAAGATTTCAGCCACCTGGAGAGCAAAGCCCAGACATGAATTTAGTGATAGTTTCACATGGTCTCACACTTAGGGTTTTCTTGATGAGATGGTATAAGTGGACCGTTGACCAGTTTGAAGGTCTACATAATTTTGGCAATGGCAAAATGCTTGTTATGGAAAGAGGTTATGGTGGAAGGTAATTTCTAATTTTTAATTTTTTAATTCTGTTTTACACACACACACTGTGTGTGATGACAAATGTACTACTTTAAATGCATGAAGGTACTGCTTGTTAATGCACCACACTAGAGAAGAGCTGAAGAAGTTTGGTTTAACAGATGCTATGCTGGTTGATCAAGAATGGTATGTAAATGAATCTTGATTTCCCCTTCAAATATTTACGATAAATTACGAAAAAACCCTTCTTATTTCTGTAATTATAACTACCCCTTCAATTATGAATCTTCTTATACGTCAACCCTTATGATGTCAAATTCAACATAATCTTCTAGATTCCGTGGAATGTTCTCTAGTTTGTACTCGTTTTGTGCAAAAATGCAGTTTCTGATGTACCACAATCTGATATTTACAAGCCAATAGACATATTTCATAATCATTTTGTTTCAAAATGTGGAGTTCGAATGGGGTAAAACGGGTACAAACTGGAGAATATTCCACGTAATCTATAAGATTCCACTAAATTTGACACTGTAAGGGTGGACGACTGGACGTGTAAGAAGATTCATAGTTGAGTTGTTTTTGTAATTAACCAACTATAAGGGGTTTTTTCGTAATTTGACATTACCTCAGGGCTGGCCGTAATTTACCTAAACTTATTATACTATTCTTGATACTCTGTTTATTGTTTCTCTATTATGAAGGCAAAAATATGCAAAGCCAGGGGAGCTATATTACGACAGCGAAATAACCGGACCGTCGTACTTCACACACTTCAACGATGATCGAGAAAGCCTCTTTTCCGGGTAAAGTCTCGAGACAGAAAACAATGTAAATTTGGCATGAAAATACAATCACTATTTGCCTCAGTTATGTAAGAGAGAAAGTTTGAAATCAACCTTAAACTGAATAGGTTTGCTTAGACATCATTCCTGAGAATTACCAATAGAAACTAAGTTCTTTTTATCGATCACGGACTCCGTCCGTATGTAAATTTTGACTTTCGCTAACCGATTTTAACTAGTGTTTGTTGGTTACTCTCGGTTTCTACATTGCGGTTTCTACTCCGCTGCATATTACTTTTTAGTGCTGCACACACTCGACACGACATCTATTTCGATTACTGCGTTAATCAAGAATTAGGGAACCATTGATTCTTGCACTAATATATATATGCTTAGGCCTCGTTTGGTTGTCAAGATAAGTCATGATTAACTAAATAGTTGGACTTAATTTGATGTTGGTATCCTCAATAAATTGCCGGGTCGACCCGACAAAATTATACAATCATGGTATATCTTGCCCTCTAATGAGTTTTTTTTGTTGGATGTTGCAAGCTCCAATAAAATAATTGGGTTCCATTAGATTATTTAATCTTATCTTGACTAATCTTATCTTGGCAACCAAAAGTGGCATTGTAGAATTAACAAAGCAACCACACTAAACACAGAATTCCTCAATTTGAATCATTACAACACTAATAAGTAATATCCAATTGAATCAAAGAGAACACCAAAAAAAAAAAAAAAAAAAAACGGGTCGAAGTTGAGAATAGCATTTACCGACAGTGTACAAGCTTGCACGGTCTGGAGTAACTTCGTCAGCACGCAATCTCTCACACCTTAATTAATAAACGACCGGCAGTTATAGCGGTGAAACTCAATTTGTCGTCGTTTGGGTCAAGACACACTCCATCAACGCACATGTTCTGTTATTACAAATGCAAATTAGTGCGATCGAGAGCTTCATAGTCGAAACAATCGTGCAGACAAGAGACACAATCAAGATTTTACGACCCGTCTTTAAATTCAAGACTTCTCTACCGCATCAGAAACGACTCGAATTTGTCGAGGCCTCTCAACCTCACCATTATTTCGTCTCCAAAACGCCCTTCTCCACCACATCTCGAACCCTCTCTGTATATTCGGGCAATCATCTCCTCCGTTTAGAAACCGCTCGAACCAAGAAAGCAAAATCTCCTTCTGCCACTCCATCGGCAAAGTCGATATCGTATTACTAAGCCCATCCTCAATTAAATGCCGATCGAGTCCCCTTGAAGCCCTCTTCATCCATCCAAAATCCTCGTAAAACGGAACCAACCATGTCTGAAGAAGCATATACCTCGCCTCTTTAGACGCCAAAAGCTGCCTCTTTCCGATCCCGACAAACAACCTCGCCGTAACTCTGCTCACTTCGTATCTATGTATCGGAGCCACTTTCGAATGGGATTCGGATAATAAATTCTCCGACGCCCATATATTCAAAAAATCCTCCGCAATTAGTCTATCTATAAGTATATCCAACAGCCAGTGCAAATTATCGGCTTGACGGGCTATTTGACCTACGTCTTGCATATCACCTTGTGCCGCCTGTAAGAAACTTACGCGTAGTAATTTCAGACAACCGTTACAAGCGAAGTACAATGACTCTTTCCGTAAATCGTTCTGCGACGAATTCTCGCGCAGCATTTTGGTGACTAATCCTTTCATCTCTCTCCTGGCTTTGTCGTCTTTTCCTTCGAGGACGACTTGTAATAATTTTACGAGCACTTGTTCGTTGTCGTTCGCTTCTTCGGCACCTTCTGTCGCGTCGAGAGAAACCCTTTTGAGAACTTCTCTAGCACCTATGCCTTGTAGACGAAGCTCCGATAACAGAGAAGCTACTTTCTCTTCTTCGTCTTCTGCCCATGGGGCGGCTTCTAAGTACTCCAAGCAAGAGAGCACGCCCGCATCGAATCCAATTGCCGCCGATACCTACATTTTATTACGACATCAACCTTAAAATAATCAATCCAACTTCTTGCAAGATAGGGCAAAAGGAACCGAAATTTTCAACGGAAAGTTTTTGAATTCTTGAAGAAACTAAGGATTCATAGCTAGTGCAAATCTACATGAACTTATTTCTAGTTTGTCGTAGTTTTTAAAGTGCTAACGAGCCAAGATCTTATAATCTAGTAGTACCATCATAGTTAAGTTAATGCATTCAAGATAGAGCGTATATCTTTGTCTCGTATATTCCACGTGTTTCATAACCCCTTTCGATTTGCATCCATCTAATCAATATTCATCAATTCAAAATCTCATCCCGGCTCCATTATTATCGAATCCGAACATTTAACCATCTATCAAAAAAAACCCTTTTGATTTGCATCCATCTAATCAATATTCATCAATTCAAAATCTCGTCGGCTCCATCATATCGAATCCGAACATTTAACTATCTATCCAAGAAACAAGAAACAAAGAATAAATTGGAGATTCTTCTGCAAAATGGGCAAAGAAACCAAAGTTTTCAACGGAAGTTTTCAACTCCCCGACAAATCTAGATAAACTAACTTCTATCAATTCAAAATCTCAACACAAATGCACTTCCGGCTCCATTCAACCGAATCCGAACATTTAACCATCTATCCAAAAAACAAGAAACAAAGAATAAATTGGAGATCCTTCTGCAAAATGGGCAAAAAAATCGAAGTTTTCAACTGCTCGACAAATCTAGATAAACTAACTTCTATCAATTCAAAATCTCAACACAAATCTATCGAATCCGAACACCTTAACCATCTATCTAAGAAACAAGAAACAAAAACCGTATGGTTTGCAAGCTATTATACGAGAGTGTAGGTTTACCCAGTGCACCTATATGGTTGGCTGCGGGTTCCTGCATTATCAAAAAAAAAAGAAACAAAGAAATAAATAAACAATAAATTAGAGGGTCCTTATATGCATTACCTTGAGTATACCGAGTACTCGAGAAACATCCTCCTTCATAAGCTTCTTCCTCAAGTCCTTACAATACATGAGCCGGAGAGTCTCTATATAAACCTCAATATCATCACAATCGGCAATCTCGACAATGTGAGGCCCCAAATTCCTCTGCTGCTTGACCCATTTCTCATTGAACGTCTGCGCGAAGAATCTACTATGAACCACAAGGATCTCTCTGTGAACGCTAATCGAAATGCTGACGCCGTCTTTGGAGCTCAAGGTGAGCTTCACATCGCTCGAGGCCGCTTCGTTGAACTGGTTCCCGGGGCTTCTAGAAGCGAGAATGTCCGTCAAACGCTGCTGCATTAGCGCCTGCTTGTCCGGCGGTGGCGGCGGCGCGTTTGCGGAAATCTTCGGGTTCTGGTGGTTTTGGATTTGGTTCTGGGCCGAAACGGCGCCGTTTTCGGCGAGGGTTGCTGCGACGGAGTAGCTGTCTGGTTCGTTGGCCATCATTTCGAATAGGGTTGGGCTCGACCGGGTTTTATCGAGGAGAGGTGGCGGTGACATCGGGTTGAGAAGGCCGGCGGTGAGTGCGGAGTTGAATTTACTGAGGGACGAAGGGAAATTATCTTGTGCGGCGGCGGCGGCGGCGGCGGCGGCGGCGGAGGTTTGGGTTGGGGTGGTGTAGGATCCCATGGTTGAAGTTGAGCTGCGAGTCTTCAGATCCGAGGAGGAGGACGACGGCAGAGATGAAACTACTAGTGCTGATGTCCTGTCGGCGGCTTCCGGCGGCGGTTCGGAGGCGGCGCGGCAGCCGGAGTTGTCGGGGGACAGTGTAATTGGAGTGTCGATTTTGCGGCTATGATAGTGGTTGCTTCGGGTTGTGTTTGTAGCGGCGGAGGAGGAGGAGGAGAGTGGCGAATCGACGGGGGTGGGGGTGGAGGTGATGGTGGTTTCACGGCGGCGACGGCGTTTGATTTTGATGGGTTGGTTGTGGAATTTGAGATGGGTGGTTGTAGCAGCTGCCATATGATTCTTTTTTAGTAGTTTTAGTCACTCTGTTTTTGTCCTCTAGCTTTAGGGCTTCATTGGCATCATCGTCGGAATTTTTGTACTGCATTTTATATTTAAATTATTTAAATGCACCAAAAAAATAATAATAATAAAATATTATTATTTGTAATTAATTTGAATAACAAGTCGCTGTCTTGAAATAAATTTAAATTACGACATGTCTATATATAAATTATAGGTGCATTAACAAAACAAAGCTGTATTTGTGTCGATGCTGATGTAACAGCTCAATCTTTCTTGTAATAAAATTTTGCCAAACACTGCATTATTGGATGAAGCTGAAATTGATATGAAATTGAAAACTCGAAAAATATTGTAAGAATTATTATAGAGGGAAAATGTACACAATAACATTTTAAATGAAGGCTCTAGAAAATATAGTCTAGTGTATGAACCGAACTGAAAATTCGGTATGTGCCAAATACCGAATCGAAAATTCGGTTCGGTATACTGTATATTGATGTTTGGTATACCCTATTGTACAGAATACCGAAATTTTACCAACCCTCATTAGGAGAGTTGGGGTACCTAGCATTTACCAATATGGTAACGGTTTAGGGTTCGAGTCCCCCTCCCATACTTCCCCTTGTAATGGACTTGAATTTACTCAAAAAAAAAAAATACCGAAATATTTAATATATATTAATCTTTCGTATTTTATTTTAAATCATTTAAAGTTATAAAATATTATAAAATACTTATAGATTGATAATTTTTTTAATTGTTTGCAAATTAGCATCTATTGATAACCATTTTATTTTTAGGATCGGTTATTGAAATTTGAATGTCAAATTCAAGAATTATTTCGTTTAAATTGTTCTCTTATTTGCCTTTTCTAAAATAAAAAAATATGTTTCGATTTTATAGGTACCGAACCGAATAATTCGGTAAAGAATCGTATGGAACCGAATAGTTCGGTTCGGTAAATGGTACAAAAGTTTGAAGTAGTGGAATTTCGGTGAGACCAAAAAACCGATACGATTCGGTATGGTTTTACAGTATAAACAACTCTAGAGAAAATAGTGCGTAGAATATTGGTTCCAGAAAATAAACTAGTTAGATTTATTTGAAATAAATACTAGAACTTCTATGGACTTCTACTGTTTCCTTCTTCCCCACCTTATCTAATTTAAGCGTCAGAGTGTAATCGTCGGGGTTTAAACTCATGGCATTCGAACCCGCATTCTTAAACAATTCTCCGATTCGACCTTTGAACTGCTCATCTCAAGTACACCTCGCATCAAGAAGAAAAGAAAATATTATATATTGTTTTGATATATTATTAGTTTTTATTTTAACCCATTGGATTATTAGAAACAAATTAATCAAAGAATTGACCACTCAAGTAAATAAAATCCAATACCAAAACAAAAATTAAAGAAAATTAATAAATACTTGGGACTACTCCCATATTATACTGTTAAACCAATTATGTGTTTCCATGTTGCAGGTTGGTCAGATGGGACAATTTGTATATTTTCTAGGCAATTTTAATTTCATACATATTTTCAATATAAACTAATAAATTGTGTAAAATTTGTTTTATTCGTGCAATAATATTATGTATCCAAATTGTGTTTCTATACACTTGTTGGCTTTTGGACATATTTGTGCGTAGGTATCTTTCTTTAGGAATGCCAACCAAGTTGTGTCAATGGTAAAGACCAAATCTTGAATTTTGTGATTAGAAAAACACCATACGACTAAATTTGTGGTTTAGTTGATACGTTTTCTCGTTCTTGTAGTGAAACATTATTAATTTACTATAATAATGTTATTGCTAAAGTTTTGGGCCAAATATGAATTTTGGGATCGGCCCAAACTTAATAAATCATTTGGCTTTGAAACACCAAAGTTAATTAAAGCCTAACTCAAAGTCAACCATTTTGATCTTGGCCATTTAAACTAGTTTTTTTTTATCGTCGCTGAGACTTAACTCTCTTCTCTCAACCCTACTTTGAGTTGGAATGCGCAGCTTCTCTCTCCTTCTTTTTCCCTCTCTCGTTGAACAGTATTTTTATTATGAGCTTTTTTTTTTCGGGCAACTCTTTACAGAGTCTTCGCCGTACATCGATGACTTTAATTTGGGAGCAACGTTGATGTCTCCTACCATTGGTTTTGTGCTTATTTATACTGCCCTTAGAGAATGAGACAAATGTAACACTTATCTATATGCATATTTGAGTTTTCTTCTTTCAATCTCCCTTTGCGAGTGATTGAGTCTTTTAGTGAAAGAAAACTGAGGTTTAATGAGTGTGTTAGTGTTTCTTTGACTGATTGATTGTGTATGTGTTGATGAGTCAACTTAATGTTAATATTGAGGTAGATCTATGGTTTCATGGATTTGAGTGGTTGTGGTTTGGTGGTGAAATCCAATTGGAGTTGCCAACTTCTTGGATTTCTGAATTGGACATTGGACAATAGAGGACTGAGATGTTCTAAAAACAATAACAGTTTCATGTGTTGGAACTATTGTTGTTTGTCGATCTCTTTCCACTTTTTACTTTATGAGTTTATGTTTTATGTATTATTTTGAATGAGTACCCAACATTTATAAAACACAATACATTATTTTCATTATATTTATGTGTTGTATTTTATTTATAAAAAGAAAGGTTTAAAATACAAACTAACCTATAATTAGGCCCGGCCATTGAGTTGTCCCTCACCGAGCCCGATGACTCGGCCTGGTTATATTTGTGACGAGTCTAATTTTTAGTGATCGGGTCTAGTTTGTGTCATTTTATTAAATCCGATTAAGTTATGTGTCAAGTTTGAGTTTCCTATGGTTCAATCCAATTAACCATGTCCGACTAAATTAATAATTATGTATTTAATATATATTTTTTAATTCTCTTGCTATGACATACAACTTGCAAGAAATTAAATCACGAAGTCCGATAATATTTGAGTATAATTTTAAAGTCTGATAGTATTTGATTTTGAGCTAATCCAAACTCGAGTCAATCAGTCTGATTGCCACCCCTGGCAATAATAAGCGAGATCAATTTCCAACTTCCAACTATCACTGCAAATGATGATTTAATCTCCTTTTACTTCTTCAATCTGGGCCTCATTTGATGACTTATATATATCACATCTTTAGGCCCGTTGGGTTAAGCCCTTTTCTCAAAGCATAACTCTTAATTATCTTATATATAAAAAGAACATATTTTGACCTATAACCCTAAACCTAAACCTAAGGGCAATTTTGTCAATTACTATTTAAGTAGTTTTTTATTTTTTTATTTTTTATCAGATTTTTAGTTAGGCAGTTTTATTTACATTTTTTTTCCTTTTCATTGAAATATTTTTGGGTGGTTTTTCTAAATTTCAACATTAATAGGCACAAAACAAAAATTTCCCACAATAACGTAACCCACCACTCTCAAATTAACTTCCCCCAATAAAATATCTCACCACTCTCAAATTAACTTCCCACAAATAAATCACCCACTATCATCCCAACTTGGTCATTCCTCATTCTTCCTACTTTTTTGCTCTCATTTTTTCCCCAATTCATTAATAGTTTTCTTACCATCTTCTGCATTATTTTATTCGACTTAATTTCCCCCCCAAAAAAGACTATCTCCCATAGACAGTTTTGCTTCAAGACTTTGCATGGAGTTTTGATCTCTTTGATCTCGACTTTCCTGATTTTCGTCATGACGTTATATATACATCAAGATTAGGGGGTGTTTGTTATTCGTAGTGGATAAATTCATTTTTCTTCTTCTTCATATTGCGATGAAGTTTACAATCAGCAATGGCCAATGTGTTAAACTAAATTGAAAATGAGTGAGCCATTTCAGTTATATATATCATTCGTGTTAATGTCGAGAAAATGTTTATCCATATATATATTTTCCAAATAATTTTAAATTCCATAGCAATTATTTTTTTACAGAATTTATCTTCAATGTTTGCTGTTATTTTTTCAGCAATACCATCCGAAGTTCTAGAAAAAAACTTTAATATACGAGGAGAAGGTATTTTAATCACTCATGTTATATATTTTTAAGTTAATTATCATTATTTAAGTTATCAATCGTATGAATACATGTTTCGTTAATAGTAGATTTTATTCCAAGTTTTTTTTAAGATTAAGTTTCACGTTGAATGTCGACCATTAACTATATGACATGGGTTATTTTGATTACACGTGTTAGATGCCATGATTTATCGGACACCTTTAGTATCGGTGTTGATGTACAACCGCAGGTGATGGGCTATGGAAGACTTGATCTTCGAAGAAATTTAATTTCAGGTAAAGTGATTTTCTCTCTCGCTCTCTCTCATTTATCATATTCCAATCTTCAATTATTATGTTAGAATTTTGTTGAAGGACCATTGTTTTCAAAATTAAAATAAGGTGTGAAAGTGAATGTATAGATTGTATTTCTTAGAGTTGGCTCTTCTATGAAGTATGTTTGAAGAGATGATTACCAGGATGATTGAGGAAAATTGCTCTTCTCCAAGTCTCGCGGGCAGGTTTGATTGAAGCATGCCCTGACATAAGTGCTTCCTCAAGTGCCCACTAGGCACCACATTGTTATGCTTAACCATATATAGTTTACGACAGTGCATAAAGAGTGAAACCACTACAACGAAATTCTATTTGCTTGGTTTAATGTAATCTTTTGTTTGGTGTAGTTGGTTGTGATACTTTTATTTTCATGGTTCGGAATATCACATAACATTTTCGTCGTATTAGGCAGAAGAAACTAAAGTTGAGAATCCCACTACGGTATGAATCTTCTTTTGTGATAAATCTAATTTATGCCCATTATTTTGCTATAGTTCTTCTTAGAACGTGAATATTGTTTGGCGAAATACCAGCAGCAACGTCGTTAGATCATGCAAATAGTTGTTTACTACTACTGGTTTTTTTTTTCTTGCATACTCTAATATCTATACTTGATGCTCATGAAATAACTTTTCAAAGGTAACATTTATGTCTTACTTTCAGTTTTCAAATTATCAATATGAATTCTCTAAGATTAAATTTTTCAAAGAC